CGAATTAAATAAAGCACATATGTTTTTAAACTAAATTAAATAAATTTAAAACTAACTATATTTTAAAGAAAAAAATTAAAATATTCAAATGAATATATATATATATATATATATTAAATTTGAATAAAATTTATATTAAACTAAATCAATATCAGTTTTTAAAAATAAAACTAAAAAAATAACTGAATCGAAGATATAACAAAATATCACCCTTGATAAGCGTTCAATCAATATCAATAATAATAATAATAATAATAATAATAATAATAATAATAATAATAATAATAATAATAATAATAATAATAATAATAATAATAATAATAATAATAATAATAATAATAATAATAATAATAATAATAATAATAATAATAATAATAATAATAATAATAATAATAATAATAATAATAATAATAATAATAATAATAATAATAATAATAATAATAATAATAATAATAATAATAATAATAATAATAATAATAATAATAATAATAATAATAATAATAATAATAATAATAATAATAATAATAATAATAATAATAATAATAATAATAATAATAATAATAATAAAGTTTGGAATTGAGATGGTTTCTTTATTTGGACCCCCACTCTATAATGCTATAGGAAGATGTGACAATGTTTACTTAGATTGTCTGAACCATCTTGCAAATTGGGTACTTGTTACATTTTAATTATGTTGATTTTCATCCAATTTTTTTTTAAAAAAATAACAAGCTTTAATTTTAGTTATTAACTATATGTATTGGGTTTTTCTTAAATTTTAAAATTCATTATTAAATTTATACGATTAATTTTAAATTAAATGGATGAAGAACATTAGAATTTTTTTTGGTTGAATTTTTTATACAAAGATTTTTTAAAACGAAGAATTTTATACGATTAAGTATAAGGAATTTTTTTAATGAATAATCTTAATACTTATTTTAGTTTTTTAACTTGTTTCTAAATTGAAATTCCGCATGATTCAAATGGGGCATTATCAAAAATACCCTTAAAATGCTATTTCTACTTCAAGACCTATCCTGGTCACATGTGACCAATGTGACCGAAATATAGTATGGTCACATTTTGATTTTTATCGATTATAACGTTAAATTTATGGTGATCACACTAATTCATTATGTTTATACCTTGTATATCTTACTAATCATTTGATTAAAACATCATAAATTTAACGTTATGAACAATGAGATCAATATGTGACCACACTATATTTCGGTCACATTGGTCACATGGTCACAAGGGTAGGTGTTGAAGTAGAAGTAGCATTTTAAGGGTATTTTTGATATAATGCCGATTCAAATAATTTGTCCAAATGCCAACACGGTTATAGTTAATTATATCCAAATTATATTTGTTTGAATATAAAATATACGCTTGTAAAACAAGGACGATTTTATAACAAACCAAATATTATTATTTAATATATCACTCCATTCAGCCGCTGAGCAGAGGAAATAAAATTCCTCACATTTTTTTTTTCATTTAGTCATCTGTAGAGAAAAAAAAAGGGTCATATTGCTTACCTCATCAAATTCATGGATGTATTCAATTGATGTTAATTAAAGATTCCGTAAGTAGTATAAATATAACTAAACGTGGACTTATCGAGTTGTTGCATTTTCATTTTTTTAAATAAGAAAGTCTTTAATTTTCTTACAAAGGGCCATTTATAAATCAATGGGATATTTCAATACATGATAATTATATAGATATATATATATATAGAGAGAGAGAGAGAGAATATTATGATTTCTTTCATATGGTAGTATCATTTTCTTTGAAATTTTCGGACTATGTTTTCTATTTATTAAAGTACGGATATATTATTTGAATTTCAAATATTAACGATAATAATGTAATTAAGGTGAGGTGACTGGTTTCAGATTTCACCTGTTATGTGTTTTATTAACATTTTTAATTACGATAAAAAGCTGTCTACTTATGACTAAGGAAGCCATGATCTAGAGATTTGACCATAATTAATATTTGAACCAGATGTCAAATGATTACTTGAAGTTTGAAAAAGCATTCGGATATTTTCTTCGCGGCTTTGAATTATTATTTCATGCGGTGTTGTACGTAGAATTTCATGTGGTTAGTTTGATAGGATGTATTGTTTCAAATAAAAATTTCCCATCGATTATAATATTCGCAAAACCGTGAAAGAAGCGTTTATAAACATTTGGACACTACAAAATACAATTAATTTAATTCCACGTATATTTGTACGACTTTTTGTTAGGATATTCTTTTAACTATTTTTTAAAACAAAAATAAAAAAATTGGGAATAATAATAATAATCGCTTGTTTTGTGATGACAGTCAACTCCGGGCCCCACCACCATTTTTGGATAAAAAGTCAACTCTTTGATTTGTTTGCGATGACGCAATTTAAAGCAACAGATAAAAATAGAGTGTAAACCCTAAAAATATCAGAATAAGACAAATCCGATTAAAGTACTTTCCAAGAATTCCAAATTTTTAAACTTACATAATTGTTTTCTTAATTATATTGTATCAGAGCATTTTGTATTATTACAACGAAATTTGATCCTTTCATTCATAAGTGAGATAATTAAATAAAATAAATTCATTTTCAAAACAAGACATACTCAAGAAGACAATAATAACAACAAGAAACAATATTTGCGTATAATAAAAGCGTAATGATGGAGAATAAATAAACAAATGGGTCCTAACAAGAAGCGGTTTTGAGAAACCATATGCTTTCCTAGTTTCGTAAGGTGCTAGTTGTGTCACCACAATTTATTTACATTATTATTCTTAAATTTTATAATTTTATCCCATATATATATATATATATTACAAATTTGTAATAATTTCATATTTCCAAATATTTCTCACGCATCGTAATGCCTTTTTTTACTTTCTTCTGGTTGTCTCTGTCGAATTCTAGTTAATAAATATGGATACGTGACGCATAAATAAGATAAGGAAAAAATGCAATAAACTTTTAATTTTTCAATTTTTATATCATTAGTTAATTTATACGGGACAAAATGCAGTAAACTTTTAATAAGATAAGGAAAAAATGCAACCATATGTAACATTAACTTAATGAAAAAACACATAAATAAGATAAGGAAAAAATGCAATAAACTTTTAATTATTTTATAAATTATATTGTTGATTTATACGGGACGCATAATTTATTTTTTATATCATTACTAGGGGTGGCCAATTCGGGTTTCGGTTCGGGTTCGGTTCGGTTATATTCGGGTTCGGTTATTTCGGTTATAGAAAAACTATAACCATTCGGTTTTTATATAAATTTCGGTTCGGTTCGGTTCGGTTATTTTTCGGTTCGGGTTCGGTTCGGTTTTGGTAAAAAGTTTAATTTTCCAAAGAAAATGTCGGTTATTCTCTTGGTTTTTTCGGTTATTTTTTATTCGGTTCGGTTCGGTTTCGGTTTCGGTTTTTCGGGTTTAAGTAAATCATAACCGTTCGGTTTTGATGTCGGGTTCGGTTCGGATACGGTTATGTCTTATTCGGTTCGGTTCAGCTCGGTTATTCGGTTAATAACCGAAATGGCCACCCCTAATCATTACTTTTAATCCGGTTTTAAAATAAACAGTCCAAAACTTGTTTTATAAATTTTATTTTAATTTATAAAATTTACGAGTTTTAAACTTATTCCAAAATTAAATTATAAAATACTTAAGTCGGACCAAATTTAGTCCAATTTAAATTTAATTTAATTTCTGTGTAACATAGTTCTAAATCTATTTGGCCATTGAATGGAAAAAACCCTCTTTGCCCTTTGTTTAATAAAACTATTACGTAGGTATATAATATCAAATACTCGAATATTTTTTACCAAAAAAATTTACACGAATATTCTTATTGTTTTAAAATTGGTAAATAACAAGAATAATAAAAAACAGAAAAATTTAAATGAAAAATGAGTGCTGACGTGGTGATTCGAGCCCAAGTTGATATCATAGATACAGTGAGGCTGTCTCCACAATATTGATAAACTGATATTAATTAAATAAATTAACAATTGGCGGATCGAACAATCAATCAATCAATCTATATCTATTAATATTTATATAAAATATAGTAAATTATAATCTCAGCCTCTTATAATAAGCAGTCTTCGTCCACATGCCTATCGCTCATGGTTTTACAATTTCGGTTGCATTCCTTGACTTATCTTAAAATTAAAATTGGGCTGATTAAGAATTATCGGCAAAATTCACGGTTTTTATACAATTTTTGTTATTTTTTGTGAGAGACAAATAATTAAAAAAAAAACCCATGGCCAGATCTTAACAATTTCCACCTTCAAACATGTTTTCTTGGTATTTAGTTTATTTTTTTTATTTCGTAAGTGGTTCATACTTGTGGCTGCAAATAAGAAAAACATTATTCCAAACCAAAATTATATTTCTTAGATTGATATTTTAATAAATATCATAACTTATATTTTAACAAACATGAAAAACTTTTAGTATGTCCAATTTACTACATTCACATCTTATAGTTCTTTTAGACATATATTATCCAAGGAAAAAGAAGAATTAATTAATATGTTGACTTTGCATAAATAGATAAAACTTCGAGACACGTGCTTAGGTTTAATTTGATGAACACGCATGCAAAGTACGTATACGTACGTCCGACGAACCAGATGAAAAGTCAAACCACAATTATGGAACAGTTCAATTAATGTTGTCTGAATATAAAATTAATGACTTCCGCATACAATTAATCCAACTTTTGATTAGTCTATGAATTATTCTGATGGAATTTAATTATTTGAGTACAAACAACGAATTAGAAATTTCAACATTCATAAACCGTTACATATGGATTTTTTTGTGTCAAACTATTATGCAGGAAAGATTATGACAAGAATATTAAATTTTATCGAATACTTTATTCTATATTAAATGAAATATATTTTTATTTTTTTAAAACCGAAGATGCATACAATTCATGTATACGTGCGTATATAGTATATTCACCTGTTGGCCGGCTTGGGCCCAAATAGAGCAACCAGGCCCTGAAATGTTAGGAGCTTAAAAGCAGAAGAAATCTGAATCACGTTCGGCGGTCGGTCACCTAATGCTTCTCCGGCGCCGGGAAATTCGCCGATATCTGACAACAAGCTGGTGATGGTAACAAGTTCTCGAATTTTCTCAGAAAATCTGAAATTTCATTGTTGCAGATACATACTCTGCTTTTTTAGACACTCGTCTTCTTCAGCTCCGTCGCTTTCTCGTCCGATTTTTCTGAACGGCCATAATCCGGTTAATTTTCTCGATGATCGGAGAAGGCACGAGAGACCCTTCTCGTCAAACGATCTATCTCGTGGTAATACAACGTTTGGGAGCGATGATGCCACCAATGTCGGTAAAGTGTTCGATGAAATGCCCAACAGAGATGGTTGGATGGCAGAAAGTTATCGGTACGTTATTGAAATACTTAGATCCGCCCTGACGACAAGAGCGAACGCAGAAACTGTGAGGAGATGCCACTGTTTTGCACTGAAGATTGGGTTTGTGGAGTATTTGCCCGCATCCTCGATGCTTCTAACGCTTTACGCTCGAAGTGGGGATTTGTCATCTTCTCTGGCTTTGTTTGGTGAACTGAACGTGAAAGATGTGATTCTTTGTAACAGTATGATCTCCGTTCTGGTTCAAAATGGTCGATTTTCGGCGGCTTTAGGTTCTTTAGTTGATATGATTGAAAAGGGAAATGAGTTCGATTCCACCACTCTTTTGCTTGCAGCTTCAGTTTTATCCAATCTAGGTTGCTCGAAACAAGGTAGATCCGTCCATGGTTTGGCTATAAAGACCGGTCTGCTTTCCGATCCTCGCTTGTGCAATGCTCTGATGAAGTTTTACGCAAAAGGCCGAGACTTGAACTCTGCAATGCTTGCATTCGCTCATACGGAACACCGAGACATTGTCTCGTGGAACACGATCATGTCCGGATGCCTTGCTAATCATCAACCCGTGAAATCTTTGGAATACTTCAAGAGGATGATTCGATTAGGACAAGCACCTGATCATGTGAGTTTGTCATCGGCCATATCTGCTTCTGCTTGTCTGGAGGAGCTTGGTTATGGTGAATCCCTCCATGGGTTGGCTGTGAAGTGTGGTTACAGTACAGATTTTCACGTTTCTGTGGCCAACTCCATCATTTCTATGTACTCAAAATGCGGGGACATGGAGGCAGCATCATCAGTGTTCGAAGAAATATCGTGGAAGGATGTCGTTTCTTGGAATGCAATGCTCAACGGGTTTGCCTCAAATGGAATGATGATGTTTCATGAAGCATTTGATACTTTGAGGGAAATGCAGTTGGTGGATTCAATCCGGCCTGATATTGGCAGGAGTCACCTCAATGCACAGTTTTCCTAAGAGACCAAAACTAGATGTATAAGTGGCACGAAAAAACTTAAAGCTACATTTAAAACACACCAAATTAGGTGGAATAGAATAATGGCTTCAAATGAAAGTATAACTGTTGTCTATACACTGAATCATATTTCAAATGCAATTGTGTCAACCATTGGGCATACACTAACACAAACCTAGTCGACACTATAGTCCATTGAAAAAGAATATCAACCTGTCTTGACCACAGGACAGCTCTTCCTGCATTCCTGGCGACATTTCTTCGGCTTGCAGCGGTCTGAACTCACTATAGCAATTCGTGTCAATCGATCCGCCATCTCTCAATGATCCTGCAAAATTTGAGACAGTATTTGAAAATCAGTAGGATATTTTAAAACTTAAGTAAATCGGTTCACGGTTACGTGGTTCGTAACGAGATGCAATCAAGAGCATTGTCAGTGACCAACAGTCTTATTGACATGTACGGAAAATGTGGGCTAGTAAGACAGGCCGAACTAATGTTCAGGACAGCATCTGAACTGGATTTGGTCTCTTGGAACTCGATGATCTCTGCTTACTCACTAAACGAGTTCAGTCCAGAAGCAAAGGGTCTTTTCAAGGAACTGCTCTGGTCCTGTTCGTCGTCTTCACAGTTCAGTTTGTCGACCGTGTTGGCGATTCTTCCGTCCTGTGATTCATCCAATTCGCTCGTATTTGGCAGGTCAATCCACAGTTGGCAGCTAAAGCTAGGGTTTGGGGACAATATCCTTTCGGCAAACTCGCTTACCAACATGTACATCAGTTGCGGAGACCTTGATGCAGCATCTCTGTTGGCCGAGTCAGTGTCCGAGACAAGGGATGTTACTTCTTGGAACACTGTTATCTACGGTTGCGCATCAAAAGGGCATTACTTATGGTCTCTGAAGGCGTTCCAAGTGATGAGGGAAGAAGGGAAAGTTCTTCATGATTTGGTCACTCTTCAAGGTACCATCTCGGCATGTGGAAACCTCGGGTTGGCCTTACAAGGGAGATATCTCCACGGTCTTGCTGTAAAAACCGTGGAAGAATCGGATACCCAATTGCAGAACACGTTGATCACGATGTACGGTAGATGCCGAGACATTGAGAGTGCTGGCAGAATCTTTGGTTCGGTCTCTGACCCGAACTTGTGTTCCTGGAACAGTATGATATCGGCTTTGTCTCAGAACAAAGCTGGACAACAAGCGTTTGAGCTCTTCAGAGACATTACTTTCAACCCTAACGAGATCACACTCGTTAGCCTTCTCTCTGCTTCCTCTACTTATCTCGGGTTCGGAAGCTATGGAGTGCAGATACATAGTTACCTCATTCGCCATGGATTCCAGGACAACCCTTTTGTGATTGCTGCACTGCTGGACACGTACAGCAACTGCGGCAAGCTAGAAACTTGCATGAAGGTATTCAGAAACTCGAAGGTGAAGTCACTTGCCGTTTGGAACTCTGTTATTTCCGCATATGGGTTCCACGGAAAAGGCGAGAAAGCGATGGAAATGTTCTCGGAGGCGACGAACTCGGGGATGAAACCGAACAAGAGTACGTTCATCAGTCTATTGTCAGCCTGCAGCCATTCCGGGCTCATAGATGAAGGAATTAGGTACTACAACCAAATGGAGGAGGAATTCGGGGTCATACCAGTCACGGAGCATCAAGTCTGCGTAGTGGACATGCTCGGGCGGGCAGGGAGGATAAGAGAAGCTTACAGGTTCGTCAGAGGGATTGGAGAAGAGCCGGAAGCTGGAGTGTGGGGAGCTTTGTTGAGTGCATGTAACTATCATGGAGAGATAGAGTTAGGGAAGGAAGTCGGAGAGGTTTTATTTGAGATGGAGCCGGAGAATGCCGGTTACTACATCTCGTTGTCGAATGCTTATGTTGGGGCCGGGAGATGGCAAGAGGCCGTGCTGCTTCGACGGCTTGTCGAAGAGAGAGCCTTGACGAAGCTCCCTGGCCGTAGTGTGACTGATGTTGGTTTTAGGTGACTGTGGAATGGACGGAATCTGTATTCATTTGCAAAATAGTGGAGGAAACATGTATAGTATAATAAAGCAAATGTTAAAAATCCTTGACACCTGTGAGCAAAAAATTTCAAAACAATGCAGCAACCACAAAATCTATGTAATGCCAATACCCTCTTTATCATATTTTTATTCTCCGGATAATAAATAATCTCGCAGGGAACTGCTACAGGAAGATGCCGATGGAAGGCGAGTCGGATAAACCCAGAAAGCAAAACTGATGAAGAAACACAACCTAAACCTGTTTGGGAGAAACATCGGTTAAGACACTTGGAAATGGATGGCTGCCACAAAAATCTCCAAAGCACATGGGATAACGTTAACAGCCTCTTCATCAGGGAGATGACCTGCTTGGATGTCTATTATCCTTGGCCACGCCCTTGTTCTCTGCAACTGCTAAGAACGAGAAAGAACCAAACATGAGAACTGTCTGAATCAGACATCAAGAAATACCAGCTGAATTGATGGGGAAAAACAGGATGAGATGGGGCAAAATTATAAACCGCTAGGTAGATTGTGTTAATCATCCAAGTAGTAGTATGAGCCAGCAGACTTTTGCTCCCTGTCCTTGGTAGATCCTAGTTTGTTGATTCTTGGTCTGTAGTTAGTCGGATCCCGTCTGAATGTGATGTTCAGATGCTGCACAACAAGACATAAAAGGGTAATCATCCGCCGATATTTTCAAAAAAGTTTATTTTTTTTAATATTTCCGCACAAGGAAGAAAATAGGAGTTAAAGAATTGGAGACTTACGGATAAGAAGAGGTTCATTCCACTGAGGAGTGATTGAGGAGAATTTGCGGTACAATCAAGAGATGGCTGACCTTCATACACAATGACCCGATCTGCCAAATAGGTTGCCATGATGAAATCATGCTCAACAACAAATGCGGTTTTCTTCGCGTGAAGGATGAACCGCTTTATGACTTTAGAAGCGACGATACGCTGTTCTGAATCAAGATATGCACTTGGCTCATCGATCAGGTAAATATCTGCAGGCTGCAGGGAACAATTACCCAAATGGACCCATGAGATCATTATTACACAAAAATAGTTCCTTCTATGCAGTAATCCTATGAACTTATGCCCTTTGGATTTTCGTAACAAACTAATTATATTTACCTTTCCAAGGCATAAAGTTAAGGCAACCCTTTGCAACTCTCCACCTGAGAGGTTCACAACTTCTTGATCCATCAGCTGCTCGATCTGTAGTGGTTTCATCACATCCGACACGAATTGGGGATGCATATACGAATCACGAATCTTCTGATGTAGCAAAAGCCTAACTGTTGACTGAAACTTTGGGCTGATCTTTTGGGGCTTGTAAGAAACATTGAACTCGGGAATCTCTGATTCTGATCCTTCAACACTATCAGGTTTCAACAAACCGGCCTGCAGGTTTTAATGACAAGGATAAAAACTTCAGGAATCCGACATAGTTATCCCAAAGGTTGTAAAATCCAAACGGGTGAAAACGAAGGAAACCAATACCAGCATCCGTATAAATGTTGTCTTCCCTGTACCATTTTCCCCGAGCATTACAATAATCTGAGAGTCGGCGAATTCACCTTCCACCACTTTTAGCTTGAAATTTCCTTGGGTTTTAGTCATGGTTGGGTATTTGTATCGGGAATAGGACTCTACTTCCTCAGCACTTTCTTGAGGAGTCTCGGCAACCTAAAGAGAAAAAGAACGAAATCATAAATGACAAAGGTTGACAAACACAAGTGAGCAATAGCAGAAAGGCCATAAAAGAGGATTACCTTGAAGGTCAAAGATTCATCCCTGAATCGTAAATTTTCCGTGGGAACAAACCCGGCCAAGAAAATGTTGATTCCTTCCCTGACAGAGAAGGGAAGGGTCACAACACCATACGCTCCCGGTTTCCCATACAAGCAACAAATGAAATCGGACAAGTAGTCGAGGACACTGAGGTCATGCTCCACAACAATGACATAGCTGTGAAAAAAAAACATGAGCATCGTATTTTAGTACCTCCCGAGAAGTAACATATTTCCAATGTGAACACTAACAGGATGAGAAAATCAAACCTATTAGGCCTGAGGAGAGAACGGACGACTTGAGCAGCTTTAAGTCTTTGTTTCACATCAAGGTAACTAGACGGTTCATCAAACATGTATATCTCAGCATTCTGTATGGCAACAACCGCGATTGCAAACCTCTGCAACTCTCCACCAGATAAATCCCCTACATTACGATCAATAACCTGGTTTAGCTCCAGATCGTGGCAGAGTTCTTTTTTCATCTCTCTCTCATCCTTCTGGTCAAGCACCTGCCCGACATTTCCTTGAACAGCTCTTGGAATGTGATCGACATATTGCGGTTTTATGATGGCCTGTCATAAACGAGCACCACAACATGGTCAATGAACTGCTTACAGGATACCCAGGCATCTTCTGGAGACAAACACCAAGATCAATTTCGCAAATACCTTTAAATTGTCTTCTAGAATACGAGTAAAATAGTTTTGTAGTTCTGATCCACGAAAGTAGGTCAGAATTTCTTGCCAGTCCGGAGGGTTCTGAACCAGATGGAAATGAAAACAGATATCAATTTATGTGAGAGACACTCACACATTTCAAGGATTCAAGTTAAGAAGCTCAAGTTAGGGCATTACATTGAACCGACCCAGATTCGGTTTGAGTTTACCGGCTAAAATTTTGAGAGCAGTTGATTTCCCAATACCATTGGTTCCAACCAATCCTAGGACTTGCCCCGGCCTTGGAACTGGAAGCCTGGAAGTCGGACCTTCCAAGCCTTAAAAAAAAATAGATGACGGAAGAACTTTTCAGAAAGGTAAGAATTTGATAAACTAACCTGTGCAATTTAAAAGCGTTTGGTCCATAGCGGTGGGTAGTATCTTTATCCAAGTCTCTTGGAAGGTTGATAATCTGAATAGCTTCAAACGGGCATTTCTGCAATTATACAACCAACTTCACACTTAATCTTCCACTTGAGTTACTAATATCCTACATCTACAAACCTGTATAATTTAAAACACTGTACCTTCACACAGATACCACAACCAATGCACAACTCCTCAGAGATAAAAGCTATCTTCGAAGCAGGAGTCACCTCAATGCACAGTTTTCCTAAGAGACCAAAACTAGATGTATAAGTGGCACGAAAAAACTTAAAGCTACATTTAAAACACACCAAATTAGGTGGAATAGAATAATGGCTTCAAATGAAAGTATAACTGTTGTCTATACACTGAATCATATTTCAAATGCAATTGTGTCAACCATTGGGCATACACTAACACAAACCTAGTCGACACTATAGTCCATTGAAAAAGAATATCAACCTGTCTTGACCACAGGACAGCTCTTCCTGCATTCCTGGCGACATTTCTTCGGCTTGCAGCGGTCTGAACTCACTATAGCAATTCGTGTCAATCGATCCGCCATCTCTCAATGATCCTGCAAAATTTGAGACAGTATTTGAAAATCAGTAGGATATTTTAAAACTTAAGTAAATCCGATAGAAATAATATTTGAAACTAAAGCAATGACTTCACGATTGAGAGATGGGAAAACACAATTTCAGCACATATGCCAACCGGATTTGATACAAACCACATTAGCGTAGCATAAACAACAAAGGAAAACTAGGGGATAAGCAAATAATAGAACTTCAAAAAAGAAAGTTAATTTGAGAATTCGGATAAAAACGTGAACCAACTTAAAACGTAAAATTATCAGAGCAACTTAAAGAACAAATCAGTGAATTTGCCCAACATCGATTAGTGACATACCGAAAACATCAGTGTATCTGACGGCGAATTCGATACTTATCAAATGCAGAGAAAAAGATCGAGTAAAGGAAAAATAAATCCAAACACTTCCGTTGCGAGTCTAGGTAACCGAAGCAAAAGTAGCGATTCTGATACAACTTCGGCTAACAAAATTCAATAGCGAGATAATCAATCAACCATACAGAGAATCCAAAAACCAACCTACAGATTTCAGATACAAAAATTGGAATATCAATGGTAATCAGAGATCAAAAACTACACATATTCCGTGAGAAGTCGAGATGACACCTGCGGAAACAGATGGAATCTGATCGAATGGAGACCCGGATTAGGACGAGGAAGCGTGTGCTGATTACGAAGAATCGAGCGCAGAGCACACGCTTTCACAGGGAGCTTGTGCGAAGAAAGAGTAACAATTCTGTGAGCGTTTTAGGGTTTTCTGGATCCTCGTTTCGGGTTTGACCCGATTTAATATTTGGGTTTGGGCCGATGCTTATACGGGCCGGTTTTGGTCGCCCAGATTTATCATTAAAAGGTGTGCACTGGAATCGGTCGGTGGCGTGAGATGTGCATGGATTTCAGGCCGACCAATTCAATTAATGGGCCTTTTGTTTTAGCGGTTTGGTTTCGGCCCAACTAGCGAAAACAATATAATAATTAATACCCTTATATGTATTTATTGATTGATGTAGGTTCCATTTCAATTTCATTTGTTTGGTTATTCCAACTCAGTTTTCAATTTCATAAAAATTACAATTATCCAGTCTTTATATCAAATTCAATTTGATTTGTTTTAATTTTAACTCCGTTCGATTCTTTGAAGATACGATTTTTATTAATAAAAAATTTTCATTTAAAATTACCTTTTCAATTATTATTTTATTTGTGTTCATTTTTTTTTCGTTTTTAAAAAAAAATCATAACCATATTTTTATATTACATTGAGTTTAATTACGATTATATATTATTCGTTTATTGGGATATTAAACCACCCCTAGTTATTTGTAAGAGAACACAACAACACAAGTGAAATACAGTGTGTTTAGTCAAAGAAAGCTTCACATGGAGAATCCCAATACAACAAGAACTGGTTTCACTGTCGGAATTGAAATGCAATCCGATCTGTAAGAAGATGCTTACACCCTCCAATGGGATTAGTGGCTCTTCAAACTCATCTGGAACGAGAGCGTCTCCTTCTTCGTTGACGCCTACCAGATTCTTCTTCCCACG